TTGTACCAACTTGGCTATACTTTAATAATAAGCCTTTGTAGAGAGGATACTTAGTCTGGAACAATTTTGAGGGGTAATACAGTTTTCAAGAACAAGTAAGAAACACTCCATGGAATCTTCATCCCAATTCATTGTTATTCAGATCTGCATTCCCTTGAGTTGGAAAACTGGTCTGCTTAAACTTGCTGCCAAGAATGTGGGGAGCAAAGAATAAAGTTGAAAGAGGAGGAAATGAACAAAGAGGAATTACAAAAGGGGGAATTGAAATAGGGGAACAACATAAAAAGAAAGCCATTCCCAGAACATGATGTTTTGTGAAATGCATTTATTGCCATGAGATCTGTGCCAACATTTATTTTTCTGAACTGACCTAAATAAAATCTACTTCTGCAGGAGCAAAAAGCAATTCAGCTTTGCTGTAAATATTTCAACCCTGTGAGGCTTCATATTCATAGTTCAGAGAAGAATGTTGAATTTTCTTCAAGCAGACGATCATTGGTTTATGGTGATAGTTGTTGAGGAAGATGAATGTTGAGTACAAATTTTCCAAAATTGAGTAAAAGATTCACACATATTTAAATAAATTTAAAACTTCTCCTGAAGCTCTTATTGTGTCTGACCTTACCAATATGCTAGTTGCCATCATGTTTTAGCTAAGTAAGATAAGTCACCTGAAATCTTTCAGGAGCTGAAAATTGAAGCTAAGCAATAAACAGAACTTCTCATTTCTAAAAATGTTTGTAATGTCAGAAAACTGTGCAGAATATCCTTATAGGAATGTGAATCACTTTGGTAAAGATGGACAACCTGCAGCCTTTGAGTCACATGAAATTCTAAGTTTAATTCCATTCTTTCATTGCAAAGGAGCCATTTACAGTAGATTACTACTTGTAAGAGATAGATGATCTTCCTCCAAGAAATCTCAAGGCAGATGGAACAAGGAGAGAGAAAAAAATTGCTTCAAATAGAAAAAAGAAAATGGCCTTCATTGTTTTTTCTTTAACTCCTGAAACCCAAATAAATATTCTTCCATGAAAGAATATCAGCATCACCAGATCCTCCTTTAGTATATCTGGATTACATTAATTTGACATGATTTTGGAAATAAGTATATCTTAAGTATCCAAGAAAAGCAACCATTATTATCTGAATAGCTTACACAACCTTTATTTAATTTATATGCAACCTATAAACTTATTAGGCATGAAAACCATTTGCAATGATTATCTTACATCAATTTGCATACTTAGAAAGAAAATAAAGGAATAAAATTATGTAGTATCTCATTTCAAACCGTTCCACAGTTTTTCACTATGTTAAAAATCACCACTCTAAATTTGATGGTGGCTTCTAAATCAGAAAATGCAACCAGAAAGAGAGGCAGAGACTACAGTTGTATCTTTGGCTTCATTTTATACAGGTAAGGAACACTTCATTTTAGTTGGATTGAGCAGACCGGTCAGTGATAGAACATGTCATGCACAATAGAATAAGAACTGAGTGACTCAAGCAACTGTGGTAAATTACTGCTGCTGAAACCCAGCTGCTGTTTGGAGAACAATTTCTGGCAGCTGTTGATGATTGATGGCTCCAGAGATTTACCCTGGATCTCCAGAATATTAGACAGGCTTGTGGAAGAGTATTAACTGGTAAGAAAAAGAACAGTTCCATCATCCCTCCCCACTGGGAGATGGTGAAGAAGGGATGGAAGGAAGCTTCTTAAGACAGAATGTGGAGGCTAAGAATCTGTCAGGCAATGGGAGTATTGTTGGGTCTCAGGGATTGATGGATGGGAGGATTAAGTAGATTAAACAGGGGGTGAAAGCTATTGCTGGGGAATCTTCACCCAGACTTGGTATTGAACTAACTTTCCTGATCAAAGAACATTGCTGACTTGTAACTTGTTCTCTGATTACAATCCATCTCAATCCTTGCAATGCTCTATAGGTAAGGCTGCAATTGGAGATGACATGGAAGCTACAGTGGGTTAGTTACACTTATGGTAACTAACAGCTGGACAACCCATGGGTCACTCCAGTCAGGAAGGAATAGCAACAATTTTGAAGTCACCTCCTTAGTTGAATTAGGCTCTGTGGCTCAATACAAATGGTTGGTTATTACTTTCAAAGCTCTTAGTGGCCCAGAAGTATGTTCATATGTGCTCTTCTGGTTTGGTCATCTAGAAAGGATGATGTAGGATTCCACATTTCAGAAGGCTAATGAGGGATGGATCAAGTGACATCCTAGCCCCCTGTTATGAGCTGTCTTTCTTTGGAGGTACATCCTCCCTCTAAAGGCATTTCAAAAGATAGTATTACTCCAGTGGGCATTTAGCCTTTAGGTTAGTTTAATTGAATAACACTATGATGTGTTATATATTTTTTATGATTTTTATTACCCATATGTGATCTTGAGTATATTATCTTTTCTTGATTTTGTTATACTTTTATCAGAGAATGTTTAGACTAGAGCAGGCTATACATGTTGTAAAATAAGTAAATCAATAGTTCTACAATGTACTGAAAAAACCCTTTGGCAGATTCACTGAAAATCAGACACCCTTCAAAACAAAGTCTATAACTCCTATATGGAGAAAGGTTTGGTCTTTAGGTCATAGATACTGCTATGGCCTGAAATTTGTACTCAGCATTTTCCTTATTCATTTACCTTGCAATCTGACATGGAGCAGTGATCAATCATATTTAGGTTGAGGTAGCATCATTCTTGAACCCCACGTCCCTAGCACTGTACTGTAAAATGACTACTTGATTCCTGGACTGTCCATGCTAAGTAATTAGCTATATTCATAAACTACACTATTTGTCCATAATTTATTTAACAACACTTAATCAATTAATCTTATTTGCTAGATTCATCCAAGATGCTGACCACTAATTACATGAAGGATTTATACAGCACACTAAATTGAAATACAATTAGCTTATCTGTGTTTCAGCATGTTATATAGGCACAGCCCTTTTCTGTATTCCTGACTGAGTATTGATTAGCATGGTAGCCACATGTGTTTTCATCCCACAAACCTTTGTTCTTATTCATATTAAAGTAAGGCAAATTGTCCTTTTGTATTTGACAAAATGCAACTCTTATTAGAATGAGCTGAAAGAAGTGAAAGAATTATTTTGCATACTCAACAGTCCTGTTCTCCCCCCCCCCCCCAGAATTCAATAATTTCAAAGAAATAAAGATCATTATTAAGATATAACAAGTGAGATAGAGTTGAAATGTGTGTGAAAATAGGGTTTGGAATCAGTGGTAAATTATTGTCAAATAATATAACAATCAGTTCTCTGCCCTAATGACCATCTGGGTAGGCGTGCCTGGGTGGGCATGGCCAACTCAACATTACTCACATCGAGGAATGCCTCGGCCCTCCCTTCCCAGCCCCTCCTCACCTCACCCCTAATTAACGCCCAGGGGAAGAGCCTGAATGGTGGCGAAGTGCCTGGAGGCAATGCGGCTGCTCAGTTGCTTTTTTTTCAGTTCAGTGTGCATTGCTCATCTTATATACAGGATCATTTGGAAGAGAGGCTGTGCTTGAAAAGATGTGAAGATGGATCACCCTGTTTTGGTGGAGATAGAGGCATTGATTGGACTTATTTCCTCGGATAGAAGCCTTCCGTGTTGTGCTTATTTCGAAGGCCAGGCGAGCTGCTCGGCGAAGTGTGGCTGGGAGCGGAGGGGCAAGGCTCAGTATTCAGCCTGTTCACCGAACTGCACAAAAACTTAGCTACAAGTTCTATTGAATTGGTGCAAAGTGGCTGAATCATACCACCATTTGGGATATTGATCATGGGGTTTAAGTAAATAATTGATTTCTTAAGTTAGAAACAATGCTAAAAAAGGCTAACTTTCTCCCATCAAAGGAATATAGGATGGGATCCAATCTGGATGGGTCACCAGGACCATAGTTTAGTCTTCCATGTTTTTAGACTCATGCTGAAGCCCATCCTCAGGAAAATTCTCTCTCACCAGACTGTGCGTCCAAAGTGTGACTGAGTTTGAAAACTTGGAAGACTAAATTTATCTAATCTGGATGACGAACCCAGATTAGATCCTGCAACATTATCCTCGGACATTTATTTTTGCGTTCATTCATGAAATATAGTATGAGTTATAGTAGTAGTTTCATTATTATGAAACATTAATTTAAGAACAGTTAAAAATGCTTAAAATGCATTCTTAACAAATTGAAGCAAAATTATCTGATTCTGCAGCAATAAATACAAGGATGCCTAAGAACTGTGCTGATAATGAAATGGATCTTAGTAAGTAATATTGTAAAACAGCTTATATTTGGAGTAACTGATGTCAAACAAGGAATGCATACAACAAAAATATGAAGAATTTATATATGAAACAAATAAATGTTAAAAGTGTATTTAAATATATTTTAATATTTAAAGGTATATTTAACAAAAATGCATTTAAAAGTGTAATTAAAGGTGTATTCAAATTGTTGTCAAAATTACCATGTGTGGTGTTCAATAAAAAGTTGTTTGTTGAAATAGAAAGACTTATAATTTATATTACAGTACTGAAGCTAGGTATTTTATTATCTAGTAAACTATTTACTATTTGTTTTTATTTTTAGTGTGCTTTTGTCTGTAATTCTGGCCAATAATAAAAAAAATCAGTAGGAAAATTAGTAGCTGCAGTATATATTATTTCTAAGCGCTATCTGTCCAGACAGAAATAACCTTTTCAGGTAAATAAGCTAATGTTGAACCATCGCATACATTTCTCTGAGAACCTCATATTGACTCTTCTCTAATATTTCCTTATATGATTGATAACAAAAGACTTATTCTCAGATTTATAAATCCAGCTTTTAACTGCTGTTCCCTGGAATATAGAAAAATGCATTTGCAGTAATGGAATAAATACAATAAAACATAATTATTTTAATACCACTTATCTTAATTATATTGCATTATATCCTATAATTTTCTAATATGAAATTATTTTTCCCAGACATCACAGTGCAATATGTTATTTCCTAAATTTTAGGCACTTACATTTATGAAAATTTTAACAAATCAAAAGCTTCTCCATTTAAAAAAATATACTTTTTCTCGTAAGTTATAGGTAAGGCCGATTATGCATTACATCAGATTGGAATGCCTCATATGGTACACTATAGTTAAACATTAAATAATCCAGGTAATAAAAGCCATAAACCTGCAGCCTCTCTGTAGCAGAAATTTCTGCCAAGTATTTCCTTACAACTTCTGAATTGGTTCTTTTGTCTGTGGAGTGTCTGTCTTTGAAATGAGGGAATAGGAGCCCATCTGGAGCATTTATTAGTTTCAAAAAATAATTGGCGTCTTTTTCCAGAGTTTCAAATTTGCCAATGAAATTATAACCGATATCACAAGGATAACAAAGTTTGTTGATTTGCTCCCAATGCGTATCCATACCTAATGGCCGAGAGGGATCTAATAGATATTGTATAAATTCTTTAAATTTCACTCCTGATCCTGTTTTCAATGTCTCTTTATCTGCATTAGGTCTGTATTTCTTAATAATTGCCTTCCCAAATACAGGATGGTAATAAATGTTTGGATGTTCAAACTTATCCCGAAAAGCAGACACCAATCTTTCCATTGGATCACGGACAAATATAATTTTGGTATATGTTTTTAAACGCTTAAGTATCTCTTTTATATTATAACTATCTAGTTTCTTCAGATGATCTCCATAGTGTACGCTATTATGGGAAATATTAACAGCAGATTTTGCGAGACCACCAAGTATCATCAGAATCCTTTTCCAGTTGGAACAGCCCGCTTTAGGAACCTCACAATACAAGAGTTTGTATTTATCTTCCACGTATATTCTAGAGACCATGTGCACAAGCGGAATTTGGGTTCTGTTAACATGTTTTTGGCAAATATCATGAAGAAATTTTTTCCGCCTCTCTTGTATTGCATTGGTGGCTTTCCAGTTATTGTTTCTATTAAAGAATTTATTTAAATAATGCTTGTTGGAGGAAAAATTCATTTCTTTGAGCTGTTTAAGAACTTTCTGTGGGTCTCCAGAAAAAATAGTAGTCAACAAATCTTCTGTTCCCCTCAAAAGATTGGGCTCCTCATAACCTTCACTCTCAATCAAAGGTTTAATGGCTTTGTGAAAATACTTTCCTGCAATCCAATCTTCTCTTGGTTTTTCAGATTTCTCATTAGAATAGCTTCCAAATTCCTGTTAAAACAGAAGAAAATGATAGAGGGTAAAGCCTAATATTAAAAAGAGAGACAAAAGTGATATATTTTGCTTTCTATAGGTTTATTTCAAAGGACATTTCTAACAAAAACGGAGAAGAACCATGACAGAGCATTTTCTTCCAATTTCAACACCTTCAGCTACATTAATGATATTCTGTGCCTTCTTAATAATTACAAAAGCATTTTATCTAATGTTGAGGTTGTAAATTTTCTGGTTATACCAGAAAATGAATTAATTTAATGTTTTTTGAATAAGTAAAAAGTTGTATAGAAATATAAACATAGTTGAAATATTTGAGGATAATTATCCCTAGGAAAATATCTTCTTTGGGTTAGAGATAAGAGGTAGAAATTAGATAATGATATGTATGAATATAAAGATGGTTTATAACTATTAGTATGCCAATATAACTAACAGGATTACAAATAAGTTAATGTAAAGATAAATTTAGTTAAAATTATTCTGTTGTACTATTGCTATTCTTATTAGTATATGTTACTATTTCTTGTTTTCTTGTTTTTCCTTTGTAAATGATATGCCCTGACAATACACTGTATTCTCTCTCTCTCTCTCTCTCTCTCTCTCT